CACGGTTTCTGTCCAAGAGATTAAGCATGACTCGGCAGAATAAACACGGTTTCTGTCCACGAGATTAAGCATGACTCGGCAGTATAAACACAGTTTCTGTCCCCAAAATTAAGCATGACATGGCAGAATAAACACGGTTTCTGTCCACGAGATTAAGCATGACTCGGCAGAATAAACACGGTTTCTGTCCACGAGATTAAGCATGACTCGGCAGAATAAACACGGTTTCTGTCCACGAGATTAAGCATGACTCGGCAGAATAAACATGGTTTCTGTCCACGAGATTAAGCATGACTCGGCGGAATAAACACGGTTTCTGTCCACGAGATTAAGCATGATTCGGCAGAATAAACATGGTTTCTGTCCCCGAGATTAAGCACGACTCGGCAGAATAAACACGGTTTCTGTCCACGAGATTAAGCATGACTCAACAGAATGAACACTGTTTCTGTCCCTGAGATTAACCATGACTCAGCAGAAATACACGTTTTTTGTCACCGAGATTAAGCATGACTCAGCAGAATAAACACAGTTTCTGTCCCTGAGATTAACCATGACTCAGCAGAAATACACGGTTTCTGTCTCCGAGATTAACCACGAATCAGCAAAATAAACACGGTTTCTGCCCCCGAGATTAACCACGACTCAGCAGAATAAACAGTTTCTGCCCCCCAAGACTAACCATGACTTAGCAGAATAAACACTGTTTCTGTCCGAGATTAACCATGACTCAGCAGAATAAACTGTTTCTGTCCCTGAGATTAACCATGACTCAGCAGAATAAACACGGATTCTGTCCCTGTGATTAACCATGACTCAGAAGAATAAACATGGTTTCGTCCCAGATTAACCATGACTCAGCAGAATAAACACTGTTTCTGTTCCAGAGATTAACCATGACTCAGCAGAATAAACTTGGTTTCTATTGTTTGAATTCTTGGCTGTCAGCTTTGAGGGACAGAAAATGATTCATTTGTTCCACAGAACAACCCACTGAATCAGTCTGTGGTTTGAGGTCCAGCCCAGCTGCTGACTTCCTGTTTGTGCTGCCTGCCATCTATATTTATCAGAACCGAGTCATTCTAGAGTCCAGACGTGTTACCAGCTTGTTTGCTTCAGTCTGAACCACAAAGTTTCCTGAGGTTTTCTTTCTGCTCCCTTCAGTTTCTCACTTCTTAAAAAGTCTTGTTGTTCAGGATCTGATCCAGTGTCACTAAGCAGACCTGATGAGACATTGTGTTTCCATCACCTCTGAATAAAAACATTAAAAACAAAGTTTCTGCACAAACATCTAAAATAAACCTGAAAGATTAAAAACTAACTGTTCAATCTAAAAACAGGATGTTTAATATTTTCTCATTATTTCTGAGGCTGAGAGCAGCAGCAGCTGCAGACACACGTGTGTGGACCATCTGGAGTCTACCTGTCCACAGGAAGGTGTTGGTGTGTCCTCCGATCACCACGTCCACGCCGCGGACCTTCTGAGCGATGAGACGGTCCACGATGAAGCCGGAGTGTCCCAGAGCGATGATCTTGTTGACGCCGAGCGTCAGCAGCTTGTCCACGTGTGGCTGCAGGGCGCTGACCTCGTCCTCAAACTGCACATGAGGTCCTGATGGGACACATCAGCAGGTGAGACAGACCAAACACAGACATCTGGACCAGAGACAGATCTGTGACCCAGAGACAGATATGTGGACCAGAGACCAGAGACAGATCTGTGGACAAGAGACAGATTTGTGAACCAGAGACAGATCTGTGGACCAGAGACAGATCTGTGGACCAGAGACAGATCTGTGGACAAGAGACAGATATGTGAACCAGAGACAGATCTGTGGACCAGAGACAGATCTGTGGACAAGAGACAGATATGTGAACCAGAGACCAGAGACAAATCTGTGGACCAGAGACCAGAAACAGATCTGTGGACCAGAGACCAGAGACAGATATGTGAACCAGAGACCAGAGACAGATACGTATGGGAACCAGAGCCAGATCTGTGGACAAGAGACAGATCTGTGGACAAGAGACAGATCTGTGGACAAGAGACAGATCTGTGGACAAGAGACAGATCTGTGGACAAGAGATAGATATGTGAACCAGAGACCAGAGATAGATCTGTGGACCAGAAAAATATCTTTGGACAAGAGACAGATATGTGGACAAGAGACAGATATGTGAACCAGAGACCAGAGACAGATCTGTGGACCAGAGACAGATATGTGAACCAGAGTCCAGAGACAGATCTGTGGACAAGAGAAAGATATGTGAACCAGAGACCAGAGACAGATCTGTGGACAAGAGACAGATATGTGAACCAGAGTCCAGAGACAGATATGTGAACCAGAGACCAGAGAAAGATATGTGAACCAGAGACAAATCTGTGGACCAGAGGCCAGAGACAGATCTGTGAACCAGAGACCAGAGACAGATATGTGAACCAGATACAGATATGTGAACCAGAGACAGATCTGTGGACAAGAGACAGATACAGATATGTGAACCAGAGACCAGAGAAAGATATGTGAACCAGAGACAAATCTGTGGACCAGAGACCAGAGACAGATATGTGAACCAGAGACCAGAGACAGATCTGTGGACAAGAGACAGATATGTGAACCAGAGGCCAGAGACAGATCTGTGAACCAGAGACAGATCTGTGGACCAGAGACCAGAGACAGATATGTGAACCAGAGACCAGAGAAAGATATGTGAACCAGAGACAAATCTGTGGACCAGAGACCAGAGACAGATATGTGAACCAGAGACCAGAGAAAGATATGTGAACCAGAGACAA